TATTATTAAGATTATTTTATTGGTGTTATTATTTTCATTATTATTGTTATTTATTATTATTATTATTATCATTATTAGTAGTATTATTCATTAGATCTCCCTTAGCGAATTCCAAGTCAAGTCTTACTAAGTTTTAAATTGAACCAAAACCCGAAAATTGCTTCCTTTCGTTGATGACCCGCGTACCTCCGTGTGACTGTCTCAGGTGTACAGTATAACACGATATGTCTGTACCAACTCTCACTCTTTAATTGGCTAAATAATATTAAACAAAATCTCAAAATATGCGATCTTTAATATTGTTTGAAATTTGACCTTACAAAGTTCTTAATAAAGTCATAATAATTATAAAGGCGCCCGAGTGTACCGCGACTAGGGTATAAATATGCTGTATTTTATTTATTTTTTATTAATTGATCCAAAATTGTAGGAGTAACGAACAGGTTTTAATTGTTATGAGAAAAAGAAATATGAAAAGCAGAATACATATCTCCCCTTAAATTGACAATACTACTACTACTACTGCTACTACTACTACTAATAATAATAATAATAATACTAATAATAATAATAACAACAATAATAACTAACAATAACAATATCAACACTAACAACAACAACAATAACAACAATAATAACAACAACAATAACAAGAACAATAAAACAGCTATAATAATAGTAATAATAATCAACAGAATCATTAAACCTAACCCGATAATAAACGCTTAACTTCAAAATCGACAAAACAATTCCTTCAGACATCACACCTCTTAGGATTCATCGTTAGACCGGGAATTGGTTTAAGTGGGTCGTTAATCCCTGGTTGTAGGTCTTTAGCATTACTAACTCCGTGACACAGTAGAATTATCGCAACATTAATAAGAAATAAGAATAGCCAAGAATAAACCCGTCCAACCTATCAGCCGTCAGCCCTTTCCGTCATTACCACCCCTCACCCCCCCCCCCACACACGTTAATTACAGGTATACTATCCCAGGTGTGTGAAGATCCATTTAGAGATATTAATTAATAACAATGAGAAAAAATACATATTAATCGTAAGTTTGTTTGGGGTTTGAGGTGTCAGATACAATGATAAATATTATAAGTACTTCACCTCATTGGTTACTGTCAGGAGCTATAGTAACAAAGAGAGTCTACACCATTGGAAAAGACATTGGTGTTACATTGTTCCCATTACACATAAGACTAGAAGAAAGTTCTTTAAGAAGTTCCACCTGATATAGTTTCCTCTCGTCTAGGGAACTTTACCTCACCAAAACTTTCATCAATGTAAACTTTCTCAAATTAGGGATATTTTTTTATCCATCAGTAAATATCAATGGTTCCCGACAATCCTCCTCAATTAAATGGATCATATCTCATAGTAACCTTCATTAAAATCCTCAAACTTCATTTCTATAACTAAAGTAAACATAATAAAATGTATTTCCCTTCACTTGCCTCTGATAGAATAATAAACGCAGGAACTATTTCACATCACAAGAAACTAAATATCTATTTTACTCTCAAGATGATGATTCCTATACCATCAACTACAAGACATTAACAAACCTCACACTCTCTCCCACAGTTCATTAGTAGGTTAACCTCAGTGATACTCTTACAGCTTATAACCTTATCCACACCAGCGTTGGAATGGTCACAGCTCGCTATGGTGTCCGGCTGCATCGCCCCCTACCGCGTGAGAATGTTGCGACAGATACAGCCAATTCGTCGTATACTCTTCCCTTGGCGGAAATGACTTACAACACCCGAAGGAAATTTACTCACAATCCTGACGGAGAGGACCAACAACACTGCCAAAATAGAGCCCACAATCCTGAATGAAAAGGACCCATAACCCCGACGTAACGGAATAGGAATCCTCGTAGAAAAATAATACACTATAATGGCAGACAGGACCTACAACTAGCAAATAGGACCTACAACTAGCAAATAGGACCTACAACTAGCAAATAGGACCTACAACTAGCAAATAGGACCTACAACTAGCAAATAGGACCTACAACTAGCAAATAGGACCTACAACTAGCAAATAGGACCTACAACCATGGCAAGACAGGACCTACAACTAGCAAGCATAACCCACAACTAGCAGAAAGGACCTACAACTAGCAGAAAGAACCCACAACTAGCCGAAAGAACCCACAACTAGCAGAAAGAACCCACAACTAGACGAAAGAACCCACAACTAGACGAAAGAACCCACAACTAGACGAAACAACCCACAACTAGACGAAAGAACCCACGACTAGCAGAAAGAACCCACAACTAGCAGAAAGAACCCACAACACTAGCAGAAAGAACCCACAACATCACCACCAAACAATATCACCACCACTTCATAAAGACGTAAAGATACACACGGCCTCCTAAGTCATTCTGTGTTTACCTGGTCAATTAAGGAATGTTTAACCACCTGACGTCACTCTGCATCATCACTCAGTATAACCAATTCATCGGTTTAGTAGTTTAAAGTAATTTAGACAACGCTCTAAACAAGAATCCCTCCGTCCGTTAAAACAGATCGTCGGCTACGGGTGCCAGAGTGGGCGCTGGTTAAGGTCTGATGAATCTATGTTTCGTTAGTGTGAATTTTCCCCGGCTGGAGGGTAACGCCAGGTGTTGCTGAATGCTTGTACTGGCGATGTTGTTGTGATGAGAAGCACTAGATCTTATATGGGGGCCAACAGCAAGAAAAAGAGTCAACAAGGACATTTTTTGTTATTACCATTTAGGAATATTCTTAAACCACCATCAGAGTCAACACTAAGACCCATGATATACAGAACAAAAAACATAGAATAAAACACATTTAAAACATATTATAAAACTTATCCTCAACATAAACCAAAAAATATATTTATGTAACGCCACACAACCTAAATTAAAACACACACACACACACACACACACACACATTTCACAGTGTCTAGACAACCTGTGAAAGCTTCTAAGTCAGTACCAGTGATCGGAAGAAGCTGGGGATGTTGGGGAGTGTTGTAGGATGTTGGGGAGTGTTGGAGGATGTTGGGGAGTGTTGGGGGATGTTGGAGGATGTTGGGGAGTGTTGGAGAGTGTTGGAGGATGTTGGGGAGTGTTGGGGATGTGTTGGGGGATGTTGGGGAGTGTTGGAGGATGTTGGAGGAGTGTTGGGGATGTTGGGGATTGGAGGATGTTGGAGAGTGTTGGAGGATGTTGGGGAGTGTTGGAGGATGTTGGGGAGTGTTGGAGGATGTTGGGGAGTGGTGGAGGATGTTGGGGAGTGTTGGGATGTTGGGGATGTTGAGGATGTTGGGGATGTTGGGGAGTGTTGGGGGATGTGTTGTGTTGGAGGATGTTGGGGAGTGTTGGAGGATGTTGTTGGGGATGTTGGGGAGGATGTTGGGGAGTGTTGGGGATGGATGTTGGGGGATGTTGGAGGATGTTGAGGAGGATGTTGAGGAGCGTTGGAGGATGTTGGATGTTGGAGTGTTGGGGATGTTGGGAGTGTTGGAGGGATGTGTTGGAGGATGTGTTGGGGATGTTGGAGGATGTTGAGAGTGTTGAGGATGTTGGGGATGTTGGGGAGTTGGGGATGATGTTGAGGATGTTGGGGAGAAGATGTTGGGGAGTGTTGATGGGGAGTGTTGGGGATGTTGGGGGGATGTGTTGAGGATGTTGGAGAGTGTTGGAGGATGTTGAGGATGTTGAGGATGTTGGGGAGTGTTGGAGGATGTTGGGGAGTGTTGGAGGATGTTGGGGAGTGTTGGAGGATGTTGGGGGGTGTTGGGGATGTTGGGGAGTGTTGGGGATGTTGAGGATGTTGGGGAGTGTTGGAGGATGTTTGGAGGAGATGTTGGAGGATGTGTTGGGGATGTTGGAGGATGTTGGGGAGTGTTGGAGGATGTTGGGGATGTTTGGGGAGTGTTGAGGATGTTGGGGAGTGTTGAGGGATGTGGGGAGTTGGAGGATGTTGGAGGATGTTGGGGAGTGTTGGGGGATGTGTGGAGGATGTTGGGGAGTGTTGGAGGATGTTGGGGAGTGTTGAGGATGTTGGGGAGTGTTGGAGGAAACTGTATGCGGTGAAAAGCTTTGTGTGTGTTGTTATGGACAGACAGACAGACAGACAGACAGACAGACACAGACAGTGTTAGTGCTGCCTGTGGTAGTTGGTTGGATGGTGGTAGTGGTGGTGGTGATGGTGGTGGTGATGTTGGTGGTGGTAGTGGTGGTGGTGGTGGTGGGTGGTGGTGGTGGATGGTGGTGGTGGTGGTGGTGGTGGTGGTGGTGGTGGTGATGGTGGTAGGTGGTGTGGTGGTGGTGGTGGTGGTGATGTGTGGTGATAGTGGTGGTGGTGGTGATAGTGGTGGTGGTGTGTGGTGGTGGTGGTGGTGGTGGTGGTGGTGGTGGTGATGTCCTCCTTATTGTTCATGTTATGTCGTTTTTATTTGAATGTGTATGTTAGAGAGAGAGAGAGAGAGAGAGAGAGATTGGAATAGAAAGAGAATGAGAAAGAGATTAAGAGCAGTAAAGAATAAAGTGTGGAAATAAAAGAGAGGAAGAAAACTCAAAAGAAAGAACAAGGGAGAAGATGAGAGAAAAACAGAGAGCCAAACAGACCACTTGACAAAACACTAAGAAATAGGAGAAGAAAAAAAGAAAATAAAACACATGAAGATAAAACCAAAGAGAGAGAAAGAAAGATAGGAATGTAAGTCAAAGAAAGAGAGAGAGAGAGAGAGAGAGAGAGAGAAAGAAAATAATAATGATGAAGACAAAAGCATAATTATAACAAATGCAAAATAATAAACATCTCTCATATTTTTTTTATTTTATTGACGTACAAGAATAATATTTCCTATTAGTAAAACAAATTAATAAAATTCAAATGTTAAAACTACACTAACAAAAGACATGAATTATTTATTTATTTAATTGTTTATTTATTCATATGATAAATTAATTATATATATATAAAAAAATTATTTACTAACCTGCACTAAGCGACACCATGCCTTCTTGTCTATCGATGCAATGTTCAATTTTCATTTGTAAAATATATGTAAAAAATAACCAAAAAACACTGTGGATATTCTTTGTCACCCAAAATATATATATATATCCAAAAAAGTATATATATATATTTATTCCAAGGTCCCACTCGTAATATTTTGTTCGTGAAAGTTTATAAGAACAGTTGCATTGTTCTTTTCTCTGTCAACACAAAGTAGGAAGGCCGTTCACTGTGTCTCATATAATTTTGGTCATTAAATCTTAACAGTTTGTGGGTTAAAAATACTTCTCTTGTTCCGGATTAATGGTAACGACAGCGGGAAGAAACAGTTTAATCGGAAAATAGTTGGTAACACTTCGCTAACTCTTATCAATTGTGTTTATTTTGTGGGTTTTTTTAAATCACTATTTCAGATATATTTTTTTTCTAATATTTCAGTGTTAAATTTTTCGTAATGTTTCTATTTCGTAACTTTATCTTGATGAATTTTTTTTGGGTGGTTTAATCCGGGGTTTTAAAAAAAAATCTCACTTAATTAAAACATCGAGGTTAAATACTCACGTGTTTGGTAAAAATAACCAAATCCGACATTACCTCACGCACAAAATCACACACACACACAAAAAAAGATGAAAATGTCAACAGGTGGAAAAAAAAAAGAGTAATTGAATCCTGACCGAATCTTATCGTGCGTCTCACTGGCCGGGACCAAGGAAGGAGAGCGGTGGTGTGTTTACAGCTTGGTGTGGCGAGTGTCCAGTGACGGGGCCTGGCGACGCCCATGTGTGGTTGTGCACTGAGTCGGGGCTAGTGCTCGGCCATGCCTACCACACACACACACACACACACACACACACACACAGTCTGCCCGCCCACCACCCCACCCCTTGCCCGCCCACTACCCTACCCCCACTTATCCACTCTACCCCACCCACCCTCCCTCTCTCTATCACTGCCCGACTACCCTCCCTACCTCCTCCTAACCACTCCCCCCACTCGATTCCCTCCCTGCCCCCGCCCAACACCTCCATCCCACCCTCCCTCTGTCTACCACTTGCCCGCCCATCTCACCACACTGATGCCACCCCACTCATCCCACTCGTTTTTACCCTCATTGGCTAATACCACGCTGAGGTAGGTGTTGGACCCCAGAACTTGCCCTCTCACCCCTCTGGACCTCTCCCCGATCAACCAGGAGCGGGGAGATCGACCGTCGAACAGGGGGAGGGGAGTTCGACGGGTTATAATTCCTCTCCTGAATGTTGGTCGACGATTGGGTGATCACGTGACGGTGGGCGACCAACCATATGGCAGACCGTGTTGAATCGTGTCCATATCACAACACTGGGAGGCTGTGTTTTTACACTGGGTGCACGGGAGGCTCTCTCTCTCTCTCTCTCTCTCTCTCTCTCTCTCTCTCCTGTGTTAGTAATGTATCTCTCTTGCGTCCATCTGATGAGAAATCTCTCCTTCTCTGGGGCAAGAGTGATGAAGGATCTCTTTCTGTCTCACTTTTTCATCACTTCGTCAGGTCGAAACGTAAAACACACACACACACACACACACACACACACACACACACACTACTCGTGTCATCACCAGTAATGTATTTTTAAAGTCACATTATCCAGGTCATCCCTCACTTTAACATACCCTTAAGAACTGATCACGTGTATAAGCCTTATCCTAGTGAGGTCTATCCTGCAGTCCTTTTATTCCCAGTGCCTCCTAGCCCCTAGCCCCATTTCTGGTGACCTTGTTATCGGCGATATCTACCCTACTAGCCTGATAAGCTTCTCTCCATAGGTCACTGGGATGGGATGAGAGTGCTCTTGGATTCCACTAGGTATTGGATAGGGGATAGATTACTCCTTTAGTTACCTGGGATAATAAGGTCCAGGATAGATAGGATAGGGTAAGGGGTTAAAGTCCTTCTTAAGTCACTGGGAATAAATGGATGTTGGATAAACCTGGTAAGGATAGGGATAGGTGATGGGGTAAGTGGTTCATTGATCACAGAGGATAGAAGGATGATAGATAGAGTTGACAAGATGGTTAGGATTAAGGAATGGGTATTCTGTTGGTCACTAGGGATAGGGGGGATAGGAGATAGAGGTTGTAAAGAGGTCACTAAGGATAGGAACGGATAGGATGTGTGTGTGTGTGTGTGATCGGGTTTTTGTGCACAGGTAAATAGGAGAGAAACAGAGAAAGACATAGAGAGAGAGAGAGAGAGAGAGAGAGAGAGAGAGAGAGAGAGAGAGAGAGAGAGAGAGAGAGAGAGAGAGAGAGAGCATCAACTCTAGTGTATAATCAGCAGACCGAAATGTAAACACGACCCTGTCCGTCTACAGGTAAAAATCAACAAGTCTCCTGCAGGTGTGGCTGAAAGTGTCAACCTGTAGGCGGTGATGACGAGGTAAGGAGAGAAAATACCATCTCCTCCTCCTCCTCCTCCTTATCCTCCTGCTTCTTCTTCTCCTAGTCTTCCCCCCCCCACCCCTCCTCCTCTTTCTCTTCCCGTACTTTTTTCTGGTCTTCCTGGCTTGCCAGTATGCTAATAGGGTACAATTTTTACCGTGTTGTTTTAGGTCGAATCATTCTTCTTCCTCATTGATCATATCCACTCAGTCTGGCTGCTGGTTGTCTGGTTGTCTGGTTGGTTGAGTAGTAGTGGTGGTAGATGATGCTGGTGATAGTGTGGTAGATGGTAGTGGTGGTTAGTGGTGATGGTGGTGGTGGTGGTGGTAAAGGTATTGGTGGTAGATGGTAGTGGTGGTTAGTGGTGATGGTGGTGGTGGTGGTGGTGGTGGTGGTAAAGGTATTGGTGGTAGATGGTGATAATGTGGGACATGGTGGTCAATGGTTGTGGTGATGGTGCTAGTAGTCGATGGTGGTGGATAGTGGTAGTGGTGGTCAATGCTGGAAGTGATACTGGTGGTAATGGTGGTTGAAGATGGTAGGAACTGGTAGCTAAAAAAATGGAAAAAGGTAAATAATTATATATAATTATGAAGCTAAAATGATAAATGTAATTATATTTATCTCACAGAATTTAACACCAACAAATTGTTACTTTCTACTATAATTACCTTAAATTATTTACCTAAAAATCTAAATAACTCCTAAATTATTTTCACCTTTAAATTTCTACATTATCTCCGAGAATAGATTACGTTTTATGGAAGCTAAATTACTGACCAAAAACACAATTAAATTTTTTCTTAAGCTAAATTATCGACTAAAACGCAATTACATTTTTTTTAAGCTAAATCCAACCAAAACACAATTACATTTTTTTAAGGATCGACTATTTTTTTGCTAGTAGGTCCTGATCATCAATAATAGAAAGGGAAGGTGTGTCATTCCTAGCTTCTTATCTTTTCTTATCTTGTCTTATCTCTCTCTTCTTATCTCGCCTATAAATAAAAGAGTTAGCCCACTGACTCCGGGTCAATGTGGCGCTAAATATTTGCATTACAGATGATGTCTCGGATGTTCCTGTGTGTGTGTGTGTGTGTGTGTGTGTGTGTGTGTGTGTGTGTGTGTGTGTGTGTGTGTGTGTGTGTGTGTGTGTGTGTGTGTGTGTGTCTCAATACCCTGACTCATAGCTCAAATATCTCCACAAGCATGAGACATAATTAACCACTAATAATTTCCATATATAATTTTAACTAATTTCTTCATACCTAATTAATCCATTAACTTATATATCTATTAACCCATTAATTATATTACAATTATTACCTATTTTTACCACATAACATAATTTTTTTCACCTTTTTTTCAGAATTTTGGGGTATTTTTTTTTCTTAAACATTATCTTAACATAATAAACATTCTTCTCGTAGGGGGCGAGAAATGTGTTAAAATGTGTTAGTATGTTAGTAATGTTGTGTTAATCGAGCGGGTGTATTAGAGAAGTAGTAAACATTGCCTTTGTAATAACCCTCAGACAGGTAGCCATAATACCTTAATTAATTAACTTGAGATCACAGGTTAAGGTTATATACAGGTATTTCTTACATTTACACCATCATATCTCTATTTATTATCACTATGCTCGTCACTATAGCTTTTATATCACTATTAATGTTCACTATCACCCCTACTATACAATTTTATCACTAGTACTATTCCCCATATGATCGCTTCCTCCCCACCTCCCTCCCTCCCCCTCCCCACCTCTCCTCCCCACAGCCACCCGCCTGACCTCTGGGGGGCGCGTGAGGGGTGATCCATCATCCAACCCTCGACATCCGTCATCGCCAGGCGGGTGACGGCTACACCCTCACCCGACACACCTACTGTCATCCTTCTGGGGATAGGGAGGATGAGGAGGAGGGTGGGGGGATGAGGGAGGGGAGGAGGAAGGGTGAAGGAGGGAAGGGAGGAGGAGTAGTAGGAAGAGAAGAGAAAAAAGGTCAATGGAGGATAAGAATATAAGATTTTCTCATTTCTCTATTTCCTTCTTTATTGTCTTTTCTATATTCCTTCCTTCCTTCATCTCTGTATTTGTCTTCATCTATGATCTCTCTCTCTCTCTCTCTCTCTCTCTCTCTCTCTCTCATTCTACTCATTTATCTGTATGATTGCCTGTCTATCTATCTATCTATCTATCTATCTATCTATCTATCTATCTATAGCCCCCTTACATTTCCCTCTCCCCTTCCTCCTCCTCCTCACCTCTACCCCTTCCTCTCTCATCTTTTTCCCCACCTTCCTTCCCCTTCCTTCACCTTTCCTCTGTCCCCTTCCCCTTCCTCACCATTCCCCGTCACCCTTCGCCCTGCCTTCCAGAGTTCAATCGTCTCCTTGAGATTATTTCCCACCCCTTGTGTCTTGCCCTTGGCTGTCAGGTTTTATATAGCTGTGGACGGGAGAGTAGCTGATACCTATCTTGCTGTGTGCGTCTGTGTACTGCTGAGGCTGTGTACATGTGGGGGGATTGTGTGTGAAGAGGAAGAAGAGGTGAGAGGAGGAAGAGGAAGGAGAGGTAAGAGGAAGGGAAGAGGAAGGAGAGGTAAGAGAAGGAAGGAGAGTTGTAAAGGACATTAACACCCTGTGATAACCTTTTATGTCCCCCCTTAACACACTAACCTAACTCTAACCTAACCTAACCCCAAAACAACTTACCTTCACACCTAACCTAAACTAACCTAACCAATATTCACTCCTAACTACCCAATAAGACACACCCTAACTATACCACTGTTCCGTAATATAAACATGGCACAGGTCACTAGAGATTTCAATGCTTATGTGAAACTAATCTCAGGAAAGAACTTCATTTCATTTTACATAAGATACACCTAAAAGAAAAACGGATCTGAACCTATAGTATGATTCTTGTTTGTACTAATTTCCATAGTGTATATTATAGAAATTGTTAGCTTGTGTTTATATTGGAATTTGTTTATATTAGTTGTAATTTATGTTTTATTTATTAGTTGGTGTTTGAGGTTTTTTGTGTTGTGGTGAGTGGGTTATTTTTGTATGGATAAGTAATTTTGTTGTTGTATTTGTTATTGAGAGACGGAAATATTATTGTTATTGTTAGTGTTGTTATTGTTGTTGTTGTTATTATTATTGTTGTTGTTATTGTGATTGGTGTTGTTATTGTTGTTGTTGTTATTATTATTTGTCCTGTCTCTTCGTCCTCACTTGCTCACCTCACCCCTGTCACTCGCCCTCTGTCAATCGCCTGTTGTCACTCGTCCTTCATCACTCGCCCCAGTCCTCGCCACCTGTCCCCACTCTCTGTCCTCGCCCCTGTCCCTCG